TGGGTATACAAGTTATTCTCGTTAACCGTTTTCTATCTCATCAATCAAGCCAAGAGTCAGCTTTGTGAGTACATTAAAAAGTTTTTTCTGGTTCTATCAACAGGCAGGATGGTGTCCGTAAACTGTACTGTCTTGTACGATAAGTTCATAGGATGAGTGGCATAAAGGGGGCTAGGACGGCGCGGGCCTTCGCCCGTCACTCATGTTCCCACCCCTCGTAAAATTTTGGGAAAGCAGAAATGAGCATCGAGTGTAACCTTCAGAAAATAAGGCCCGAAAGCGCCCCCTCCCTTGCAAATCGACTCCACTTAGGCCACTTGGAGCTCGAAAATGTCTTCTTCCCTTCAATTAACAGGAAGAGGCAAAGCATGTGTGCAGTTTTAACATCGTTTATGCGATCTCCCGATGTAACGAACTGTCATCTTCAGCAACGATGTTGATTGTTATCCATGATTCGTGTAAATATGTATAATGTTTATTATGTTTTTATGCTTCCGTTCAGACTGTGCGCAACTCAAAGAACACAAACACGCACATGAAGCCTGTCTTCCAACCCCGTCTTGGTTGGGTCAGACTCACGTCAAGAGTATTGCTGCCAGGCTACCTCAGAGGAAATCTGTACTGACCATGGAGGACTTTGCATCTATACGGAAACGGGTAAAATAATGAGGGGGAGGGGCGTGGCGAGATGACCAAAGGGGGTGTTTACAATGATTGACAGTATTCACTAAAAAAATCGGTACACAATAAGTAATGGTCAAACTTGTCGGGGATAACAAGTTCCCCAAAATCACATAATAAGCCTATTTTTAATGTTTTTTATTCTATTCATGTATTTAATTTTGTTCAAGTAATACAATTTAAGGACCCCAATTTTCCCGAAAAGAAGCACCGAAAAGACTTGTCATTATTGGTTAGTAGTTGACTAAATCCCTTTTAACTTCAAAATACTACGTTCAAAATTCGTCACCGACACCACGAAGTAACACTCTACCGTGTTAACCATGGAGCTATAATTATGGTTAAACATATTTTTTTTCGATTTTCAGTTTTTTGGATTTTTAAACATTATTCATCAAGGCCTACCATTGCACGAACTTTCAAAGCTTCAAGAGCTTTACTTTAATAATTACGCTAAGTATCCATGGCAACATTTGCGCAAAAGTGACAATTTTCGTTTTCACGAAGTAACACTCAAGTTCCATTTACCATTGCAATGCATGGCGCGCACTCTGCTCATAGTGAGCAAAAACGTTTTTCACGAAGTAACACTCTTCTTGTAATAAGTTTGTATGAGCGCGCGCGCGCTGACCTGAAGTTGCACTTTCCTCGTGTTGTATACATTGAAGAGTGTTACTTCGTGAAAACGAAAATTTACAGTTTCGCAGCTTTTTCGGTTTCACGAACTAACACTCATCTTTTTTTCTCTTATTTCTTGTTTATTTAATACACAAACGGGTGAAAAACAGCAGATTTAATAAATTCAATTCATCAAGTGTCCACAACGAGAAACCCAACTGAAAATACTCTGTCATTTTGACGCAAAGTATTGTTTTAGAAGGCGTTCAACTTTAGTTGCCGTTTTCTCCGATTGCTAGTTTTTACTGGTATGTAGATGGGTGTTACTTCGTGGTGTTGGTGACGAATTGTTCATTCAAAAAATATTAAAATACGTATTTTGCGATCAAAACAAAACAAAACAATGGTCGCCATGGAGACTCGTGATTATTACTATCCCTCATCATAATGATGCAATCACCTGAAGAAATAAAGAAACAAAGAGATGCAATACTGTCTAAAGTGCAACAGGAAATTATTGTAATTTGCGAGATAGCTTCCAGTCTTTTCTCGCTGCTGACATTTGCAAAATTGCTCAGAGGTTACTGCAGTTCGACGCTCTTTACTTGGAGTGCCGTGACCTCGTGCTGCATTGAACTCGTGATCTGCACAGGTAATTCTGCAGGTTATGGGTTCGAGTCCAGCCTTGGGTTGTGGTGCGTGTGTCCTTGGGCAAGGCACTTTGTCACGTTCCCCACGCAGGACTAAATGGGTACCTGTAAGGGCAGAGATGCAATTGTGACTGGTTTTAGTTGCTTTGCGCCAAAATGGCAGCATCAAGCTGTATGCTCCCTATAGTAGGAGGCTGAGAATGTCGTTTGAATGTTTCATGTGCCCAATGAGCAGGGTAATAAAGATGTAGCGTCTCGAGCACTAATACTGGTGGATACGTGCGTTTCATTAAATCATCAATTATATTGTTACCTGTCCTTTTTTAGATAACGGATGCAACAAGAGATCACTATCATGACCTAGCGCGGAGCAGGGCTGTGGAGAACCAGCGATACTGGCGCTCGCTCCAACCACAGTTTATCCCATCTGAGACTCTGCGGACCAACTTCAGAAAAGTGTTCTGTGCGTACATTGCAGCCGGGCAACGAAAAATTTAAATATCCTTTCAGGAAAAAGGTTGCTTCTTTGTTATATCTTTAACAGTGAACGTAAAGAGACGTTAATTCCAATTGATCATTATAAATAAAGATATTTTCAGAAATCATTCATGATACAAAAGCTTCTGTGGACACTATTTTTTTAAAATAAAGATTATTAAAATTAACCATTCTAAATCGTTCTTATTGATAACACCAACAGCTGACGTCAATTCATGAACATTTTGTTATATGATTTGGAATAAAATCAGTTTCATTTTGAGAACCCACCTTCGAAAACATTTCGAAGTGGTAAACAAAAATCGCAAGTTGTAGATTTGAAAAAAAATTATTGGAACTCCGAAGTTGGAGAAGGGTAAGCAACTGTTTGGCTTTTTTTAGGTTTTTTAATTGAACGTAAGAAAGGCTCTTGAAATCCCAAAATTCGTTCTTAAACAATAATTGTAGGAATGTTATGGACGCAGTGCACCGATATAGACTTTGTTAGATGACACACTGCCGCCAAAACTAATCAAGATTTATTTGACATTCATCCCCGAACGGACTATCGTTCAATATGGATTGATGTTGTTATACATAATGAAAAATATACGACAACGCTTAGAATGTTTGTCATTGAAACGCCAATAAGCGAGTTTGTCATCTGTGTTTGTATTCTTTGTATTGTTTCTGAATCGTTCATTGTATAGTATGCCACCCACCATTTACCAAACTCGCGGCTAATTCTTCTCCCCCCCCCCTGTCATCGCTACGGTTTACATGATGCGTAGGTGGGAATCTCTGAAGATATTGGGCACCGGAAATTTCTTGTTATGTTAATGTAAAATACCACTTAAAGTTAGTGTATACGTGCATTTTGGGTGGCACCTTGAAAAATAAATTTTCAAATTGAATTGATAATTTCGAATACGTGCTTTTTGGGTGTGGCACCTTGAAAGTTAGATTTTCAAATTGAATTGATAATTTTTATCGCATTACATTAGTTATGAGCTTTCCAGGCAGACATCGCACGAGAAAGATCGGCCCATGACAAGTAATCAAAAAAATAATTTCAACTTTTGCATTAATAGCGGGAGGCTTCTAATTCGTTCTGAATAGTGTCGCAATTTCTAAACTGGTGCGCGCCATTTAAAACCACTTTTTTAAAACTGTATATTGGCCCTATAAGGCCTGCAAAAAAAATTAGCAAGTGTATTTGACACATGACATTATATTTCCTTAAATTTTCTTTCGGAAAAGAAAATCGAAATTTTGAAAAAGCACGTTTATACCAACTTTAACAAAATAAAATTTTGTGAGCAGACCAACAATATTCGCACACAATCTTTATTCCCTTTCAATCTCAACAACCTGCAGATCGACGTGGAAACCAATTGGGCCACGTTTTTTCTTAAAAGGGACCGTGCCATGAAGTTTACACTAAAACATATTTTAACCCAATTTCCCTTTTGGTCACTTTAAAAAAAAAAGCACTTTATGAAAATTGAAATGGTCCATGGTTTTCCTTACAACTGATGGCACTGCATGGCTGTAACGTCCTTTAAAACACACAATCTTTATTTGGTTCGGTTTTTATCCGTTCACATTGTGAACTCAAATGCATTTACTCATGCCAAATATTTTATGCTAAACAGTTTGCTCATTGACTTACCGCCATTTACCGAAACAACAAAGAATCAACATAAATAGAAAATTTACTACAAAACAACATACATGTATTAAAATTATTAAATATACATATATGCAGATCAAAAGAATACACCTTAGATCACGCATACACAAAAGTTAGGACACTCATTTTAAAAATATGATTAATTTATCTGAACGCACCAAAAACACCCTTACAACAAAACTAGTCTTAGTTATGTACATCATTATACTAACTTTGGTCAAAATTAGATTGCAATAAGTATAGGATAAGTTAATATGTCGGTATGTATGAGAGTTTAACTGACTTTTTTTTACCCGACCTAGAAACTGTAAAGAATAAAGTTGGTACACATGATCTTACTTTCCAATATTCGAGTTGCTATGATACCAAACAAGACAATAACACTCTGTCATTTCATCATGAATTTGAATTATATCACTTCTCAAAGTGTCACTCAGGTTGAATACAGTTTCGATTTCCTGAAAGTAAATACAATTTCTTGAGTCGTCTGTGTGTTCAACGTTAAAAACATATCTGTGCACAAAATAACGAACTTAACCATTTCGATCCTTTATCTAGACTGTTTATGACTTAATAACCATGCATTTGCATTTGCTTTTAAGCTTCTTCCTCTAATTATATGTTGCAAAATAAACACAATAGTACCAGTGATCATAATAAAGTATAGGCCTATTAAACTGGTTATTATTGCGAGACAGAATAACAATGGACAGACCCTACTCGGGTAGTAACAGCAGTCATTACTTGATAAATGCCAGTCTAACGAGAACTAAACGGGTATTTGTATAGCCTCTAATAGCCGTATATAGCCCAGCGTCAAATGAAAAATATAAATAATATATCAGCCTGCATATATACAACGGCAGGCCGCCAACTACATGATGGCAAGGCAGGGAGGTTGGTTGCTATAGCAACGTGTCAACCATGTTATTGATTCGCGCGTCTGAGTGCCGATGGTGCTGTGTATACTAAAAACGGTATCGAATTTGTCGGTTGCTGTGACGTAATTGATCTGTTATTGAGTTGAGAATGTCTTGTCTTTGTCACTCACAATGGTTGCAACAAGTGCACACAAACTTGGCGTCTCCTGACAGAAGAGCACAGAAAAATATAGTGTCATGTCAACTCTATGTAATGGACGCATCATAAGATGGTTGTATAAAGGAATATCATAGAGCCTATTCGAATAATGCTTGTTTTCCCAGATAAAATACACGCATCGGCTATTATCATCGTCAAGTATTTATGAATTATGCCAACTTAATGGCTTTATTTGGATTCACACATTTATTCATGATGCCTCCAGTATCAATTTTTAGTCCAACATTAGCGAAAAACGTAAGGAATTTAGAGCATGTAAATATAGGCTTTGCGTTACTGACAGTTGTCAAAAATGTTATTGTGGGTATGTGGCTAAAAGGACCGATTCTCATAGTTAAATACTGGAAGCGGACGTTCCAGCGGATAGGAGTTCTGGGGTAGGAGCATTGTTGTCCTTTTATCCCTTTTCTGAAGATTTCACTTGTGGGTATACCGTTCCATTTGTACGTTGTTTACACTTGTCGATACTCCTCCATTGTAGTAATTTCGCCAAAAACTATGAATGATTTCTTCTGTGCACATCCAATAAAGATGTTGAGGCAGAGCAAGCCAGGAAGCTTAGCGGTTCTGCATGGCCGTTATCTCTTGACATACTGAAAATGAACTACTTCGTGCAAATGTAAGTTCTGCACCTGCAAACAAATATTGAATTTTCTATCTGATCACCATTAATATTTTATCACCAAAGATCGTGGGAAATTTAATTGACGCAGTAATTGAAGCTAGATTAACATATAGCCTACATTTATTTTTAATCGACCATTGTGATTGTCACAATCGCCTGTCTGCCTTGTACGTGGTCATTTAGTACACTTGCTACCCATGTTGCATCGACGTGCATATTGTCCATTTTCACCTGAGTAATCACCTGGGTCCAGACTAATCATATCCTCACATTTATAATCATTAAAACCGAGGGATGTTGCCGTGCCATGAAGAGAAAATGGCGACACTCAGAGGCATGGCACGGACAAGACTATAATAATGAAGGTTAACCATCAATACTTTCCGTGGAACAGTGTACACAGCTGCAGTCTACCAACGAAGGTGACTGTGCAGTGCCATTGTATGCTGGCCTGACGTCACCAGCAGCAAATAGCCTTTTGCAACTGGTGAAATTGATCGTACATTGTGGTAGTGGAAGTATGGTAAGAGCCATGGTTTGAGCTGTCGGATGGAGCACAGATGATGATAGCATTTCATTGTCTGAAGACAGATTATTGGTTGTACCGTTAAGACATTATGTGAGTGTGAGCATCAAGAGGAGTTGGGCACTAGCATAGGAAAGTTGTATATCGAGAGAGTTTACAAGGCAGGTTTTGAGAAACATGGCCAATGTCTCATACGACATTCCAGCTGTTGTTGCACTTGCTCGCATGTCTAAGTAGGAACACCCAACTCGACGACATACGGAATGGGAAGCGGCTCCTCCAAAAAGGCCAAGAAACTTGAGGCAGAGGAGAGAGAATTTAAGAAGAGAAACATGCAAAAGGAGAAAGCGATTGATGACGAGGAGGAGGAGGTAGGGGAAGATGGGAAGAAGAGAAAGAAGAAACAAAAGGATGACGAGTTCCTTCTTGGAACTTGCAAAGGTCACAAAGGAGGCATCAACTGCATGGGTATCAACGAAGATGGAAACATGATCATCACTGGTGGTGAAGACAAAACGGCAAGGTTGTGGAACTTGGCCACTTTCGAATGTACTAAGGTACTGAAAGGACATAAAGGGTACCTAACCTGCGCCAAAATTCTGGATGAATTCTGCTACACTGGAGCTGCTGATCGCACGGTAAGGAAATGGACAGCTAAAACTGGCGTGTGTGAGTTAGTAATCGAGGGGCATGCTGCACCTATCAATAGACTTATCTGTACTGGGGACTTCCTCTTTACTAGTTCTTATGATCGCACCGCTATGTGCTGGGACCCTGATGACGGAGAACTCTTACATATATTCCGTGGGCATCGTCGAGGGGTCACCCCTCTTATGTACATACCTGCCGAAGATGCTCTTAAAGATGATGTGGTTGACATTGAGAGTAACCGAGACATCTTGGTGACAGGTAGTGCTGATGGGACGGCTAGGTCTTGGAATATGGACTCCGGTGACAGCTTGGTGACTTTCAAGGGACACAAAGGTGGAGTATTGTGCCTGGCTGCTGATTCAACTGGAAGTATTCTATTCACCGGGAGTGCCGATTGTACTGTAAGGAGTTGGAATATCAAAACGGAGAAGTCTTCAAGGTGTTTGAGGGACATCAGAGTGCCGTCGTCTGCCTCCAGGTAACTTATCTTTTGGTTTATAATCTTTTTAGTAACAAGCTGACGGAAATGTACCATTTTATAACCCTCATAATATCATCTGTAATCTGTCTCATAATTTGCACAATTTCTTCACCGCACGAAGTCAGTGAGTAAACTGGAAAATAGGTTTTCAAAACTTAAAAGGAAGAAACTTGCCGACTGACGCGACACACCATTAGAGGCATACACGATAATTTGCGTTAATCCAGAAATAACCTACCAATCATTAGCAAAAAATCTTACTTGGATTAAGATCGTATTGATACTAAACAACCCGTGAAATTATTCCGTCTGGCTTGCTGTCATTAATAACAAATCAACAATGTACAGCTGATTTCCAACGATTAGTCAATAAACTGATTTTTGGAAATACAGAGTACATGGACGAAATCGTGTTCCGCGATCAAACGGTCGAAAAGTGTAATATCCACTGAGCTGAACTTAGGTTGGTTTGGGAACATTCTTCTTTGGCTTTGAGTGGTGTTATAATTGATAACGAACAAATAAAATGCATGTGAAGCAAATTATCCTATTTGCCTAACAAACAACCAACAAGCCTCCAAACTGAAGTGCGTGAAAAAGTAAGGCACTGTAAAATATTGTTTCAGGTATGAAACAATATCTCAGTAATTTTTGGTTAATTGGAGTAAACTTTTAAACGGACTTTTTTTTTATAGGAATCTACCCCAAGGTGTAGGCTGGTTAAATTTTGACCACTTTGGGTAAAAAAATGAGCAAAATGTTCGCCTTTTAGTGTGTATGGATGCCATGTTCGTCGCACTGTAAAGCTAAACGATTTTTTCTTTGCTGCAATATTATTATAAGCACTAAAAAGAACTATTTACACTATTGTCTCACCCACACGTGTTGATATCAACACGAGGCTACCTTGATCGAACAGGGTCCTATCGGAACACGAGTCGACAAGGCATATACCGTTCACAGGTTGTGCAGGGTCGGCAGTAGATTTTGGATTTGCTATCCGGGTAGAGTCTCTAAGACCCTAGTCTCGACCAGGATTGGATTTTAACCCGTGTATTGCACGTGAACCGTG